ATCATCTCGTTAGAAGTGAGCTCCGTGCATGAACTGTGTTCCGATTGACATGGTCCCTACACAGTGTCCATTGCTCCCTACTCCCTGAGCAGGGGAAATCCGTTGAAGTTTACTTCACTTCGGAATATTCATTTACAGATTTGCGCTGCGCCGCTGCTTGCAGCGTCTTCACACACAAATTAAACTTACTAGAGAAGCGTGACGTGGGACATAATATACCTCTGTAAATAAATACAATTTAAATTCACTTCTCGCACACTTAAATGCCCTTTGTATGGAACATATACGCTCCCTTCAAACTGGAATCATGGAGGAATATCCGGTAATGTCCACTTCGCAGGGCACTTACAGTCAATTAAAAAAGTGAAAAAGCATAATAGGACCCCTTTAAGACATTAATGGAAAATTAATGGTTTGGTTTCTACAACTTTCACTTTGGAACACAAATCTGGCTTTAAACTTGAAATAAATAAAGATTTGTCATTTATCATGATAATTATCAATATCGACTGATAAACAAAAAATTATCTTGATAATTTTTTTGGCCATATCGCCCAGCCCTACTCCAATCACAGTGTCCTTCAGTCACGGGTTGCTGACATTTGTAAATGCCACGCATAAAGACATCACTGTCAGCCACTTCTGCCGAATGTAATCAGGAAAACTGCCCAAGGAGGAAATGGTTCTCTAGGAACCACCATGCTGGCTAGTTCCTCGAACTACGAAGTGCGAAAGCCGCTTTAGACACCACTCAAGGTCACGCTTAAGTTAGTTTATGCAGTTTTGCAAAAAGAATAAAACATTACTCATGCTTCTCATTATTTTTGCTCATGCATATCAGTGTTGGGGAAAATTACTTTTAAAAGTAATGCATTACAATATTGCGTTACTCCATAAAAAAGTAACTAATTACGTTACTTCGTTACTTTTTATGGAAAGTAATGCGTTACGTTACTTTTGCGTTACTTTTTAAATCTGGACAGTAACTCGCGTTACTTGTAATGCGTTACCCCCAACACTGTGCATGGTTCCCTGAACGGCATGCATGTATTATCAAATGAATACTTCCCATTTAACAGTTTGTATTGGCCATTTGTGTCATTGTCATGAAACAGAATTTGGCTCCTTCTCGGTGATACAATTATGTGGTCATGTATTGTGACCTGGTCAGACATTGAAGAAAGCAACCAGAAATATAATTTATCTCCTGTTTGTGCATAAAAATATGTTGTACAATGTTGTGTGTATAAGTAGTCAATGCATATTTGTCTTTTGGTAGGTATTCAGGGGCCACCTGGTCCATCAGGTCCTGCAGGTAAGCGGCAAGCTTTTTTTTTCAATTAAAAGTTTTTAATATTATTTTGTGATGTCTTTCACATAGCTGTTCATTACAATTCTTTTAGCCTTTTATTTGCAGTTAAGTCATGTGTAATTCATGTTAATATATTAATGCAGTGAATTAAATAAATCTGTCATTATAGGAATTGGAGGTCCAGGTCCTTCCGGTCCACCAGGTTTACCTGGAGAGAGAGGAGAAAAAGGTGATGAAGGACAGCCTGGAATCACCCTCCCTGGATCACCTGGGAGTACAGGTCCACCAGGTTCCCACGGATTTCCAGGACCTCCTGGTCCCCCAGGAATATTAAATGGCAACACAGAATGTAATCGTGGTCCTCCTGGTCCTCCAGGCCTGCAGGGGGAGCTAGGATTTACAGGAGGAACAGGACAGAAAGGTTTGCTTTTTATTTCATATTAGAAAATTAAATTCTGTATGTACACACATACCTTTGGAAGGTTTGAGGAAATTTGTGTCTAATAATTTCTAATACCAACTGTCTTAGGTCAAAAAGGAGAGACATGTGTCAATTGTTTCACTAATGGAAACCCTGTCCCAGGACCCCCAGGGTTTCCAGGTCCTCCTGGAAATCCAGGTAAGATTAAAGTCAACTTAGGGTGTGTTCACACTTGTCATGTTTGGTTCAATTAAAACGAACTCTGGTGCAATTGCTCTGTTAGTGCGGTTCATTTGAGTAAGTGTGAACGCTGCCATCCGAACCCTGGTGCACACCAAACAAGCAGACCAAGACCGCTAAAAAGATGGGTCTCAGTCCGCTTCCGAACGAACTCTGGTGCGGTTCGAATGAAATATGAACGCAACATGGGTGTGCCATTGGACCTTCCGGGTGGGCCAAGCTCATGATTAAGTTGGTCAAACCCACCCAGGGGCCTCCTGTGGAGCCAGCCCTGAGGGAAAATTTTGTTAACGCTCTTAAAAATAAAAATTCTTTATTAACATTAACAGTGCCATGAAGAACCTTTATCATCCATGGAAGCTTTATAGTGGAAAATATTACAAAAATTATTCTTTTAAGAACTGTTCACAGAAAAGTTCTATGAGGAACCCATAATGGTTCTTCTACTGCACCTCTACAAAAAACCCTTTTGGAACTTTTATTTTTAAGAGTTTAACTATCCTTTTTAATCTCTGAAAGACTGTAAATAGCGGGTTAAATTCTCTGGAAATAAATAAAAAAACACAACATTTGTTCGGGCCAACTAACCTGCCTTAACGGCTAAATAAAACCCAGGCTGAACTTTAGCCAGTATTCAAGCATTCACCGATTAGATTTCATAGAGATAGCATATGCAAAACATCAGTTCTTGGAAACTGCAAACGGTGCATGGAGAAAGAACAGCTGACATCCGAGTGCTGGGATAATAGTTTTACATGAAAAGCCTGCTGACGACCAAGCCCACCGTCCAAACGGGCCTTGAACACACAAAGCATTTAATCAATCAAACCTTTCACATCTTGCCATGAGCCACTCCTAAAACTACTTTGCTGACGCTTTTACCCAAAACATCTTACTTTTCATATATAGGGTCAGTCCTCCTGAGGCAACCTGGGGTTAAGTGCCTTGCTCAAGGACACAACTGAGATAACTTGAACCTCCAACCCTTCACTTACCAGCCCAGTAGAGCCCCAGCCGCACTGCTATTTAAATTCAGTAGTTAGAGATTAAGTCATAAAGGAAATCATTGACACACAGTCTGTGCTGAAACTAAGATGAGGAGGTGCTGGCAAAGAGTTTCGCACCTTTTTATTCAGATTCTCTCGCCTGCCATCGAGTTGTAACCAGATTTTATGCTTTGAGAGCATTCATCCTGTCAGCGCACTCTTTAAACACCCCGGGTGCACATCAAAGCGCGTCCTGGGGCCATTCAGCGCCCGACACCTCCATTTACTGCACTTCCTTTATTTATTACAGGTAAAACCGTGAAACAAAGGTTGTATGTTCTGTCAGGGACCCAAAAAGACGCCACCCGATACCACTTAACGCGATTTTATGGCGACAGAAGCGAAGCGTTATTCAAATGAAGCTAATCATTGCTGAAAATCACCATACAGGCAAAGGCGATTCTGTTACCTTTCAGTCAAAGTTGCTATCACGCATTTTGCATAATTGGGATTTTACTATAGCATACACTTCTTTCATAATTTAACGCTCAAAGTGAGCGCAACAATGTAGCTACATTACCATAACAAAAGAATCACTATGATAACCACAGTAGCTAGTAACTTTGGTTATTGTTTCCCTGATAAAACTGTGGTAACCTGCTATGAACCATAGCTGTTATTTAAGGCCAATACAATATTTTATAACTATACATTTCAAAAGAACATTATTTTTCTTTTAATCTACTGTATTGTAGCCTACTGATTGAAGTGTACGTCTCGAGGAGCGTTAAATTATGATGCATACATAAAACCTGCTTAATTCTTGGAAAAACAAGCATGTATATTTTTATTAAAAGATCAATTAAGGCTGAAATAATGAATAGGGGAGAATATATTTACCATAAATCGCTCTGTGGTGCTGACTAGATTTCCATGCAGGTTAGCGATGACAGGACTGTGGGAACGTGAAGCGGCCGAAAGAACAGACGAGGGGGGAAAAAAATCAATAATATCTCATTCTGTCCTTAGATGAAATGGAAAAAATGTATAATCCCTGGTATATTCAGTTGACTTATTATAAATTGATTTCCTTTTATCTGCGTTCTTCACACGCGTAAAAAAAGAAGAAATAATAAGTCATCCAAAACAGCTTCTTCTGCAGGATCGTTGGGCAATTTTTCCTTGCCTTTCTTTTAAGACCTCTTCTTTTTTTAATGAACTCGATCTGTTTTTCGTTAAATAGGAGACGGCGGATCAAAGTGAGGAGCTGTTTCCAAAAAACGCCGTGTTTCAATTGCGCTCCGTTAACTGCGTTTTGAACTAACGTTACCGTAAATGATTCCGTCGGTCAGGATTTTTACCCGTTTACTTACTGGAATAATCTCCGAGTAAGGCTTAGTAGGAAATTGCAAACTCCAGTAAAAACGACAGCTTATTCTGCTGACACGAATCCGATAAATAAACAAGTGCTTTGCCAATTAAACAAACTGCGATTCGCAAATGTCCTTAAATCCGAAGAGCGAACAGACTTTGGCGTATACAATCAAGAGGAATGTTTTATCCTCGGCATATACTAGAAAGCCCTGGTTGTGTTTAAGGCGATATTCCTTTAACAGGAGAGCAGGTGCAGGAATTTAATATACGCCGTTTAATCCTCGAGAAGAGAAATCACCGTTCACTTCCAGCGGTTCTCTTCATCCCCTTGCACGGAGACCTTCCGTCGCGATTTCAACTCCGCTGTCCGTTTAATTATTCCTCTGAAGGACTCCAAAGGTTGCAGCTCTTGTTCATGGTAATATCAAGCTAGAATTAATCAACTTAAAGCAATAAATTGTCTGTATTCCGCGTCTCTGTGATACGCTCACAGGCACTGCGCCTCACCCCTGCGCCGGGCAGCTGAGACTGACAAAAACCCGGAACGGTGCAGACTCTCGCGCCTCCAAAGACCGCCCACCAGCCAATCAGCGCACAGGGTTAATTTAAATATTCCCTCGGGTCGGCCAATCATGGGTAATTGAGGGCTGTTACCACGGTGACGCTGTCAGCGTCCAAACGTCATATTAGAAAGCACGTTTATTATGAACGCTCAGGGACTGGACGTTGATCTTGTGAAACTGTGGGGACGGCGTTAACAAAAGTTACAGGCTCCCGCAGCAGCCAATAACTAACAAATAAAAGATGAACAATTTATTGGCATATATACACAGTGTTGGGAAGGTTACTTTGGAAATGTAATAGGTTACAGATTACAAGTTACCCTATCTTCAAGAATCGGCTAAAAACACATCTCTTCCATCTTTATTTGACCCTCTAACTCTAGCACTCTCTATTCTAATTCTATTCTTTAAAAAAAAAAAAAATTGTCCCTTTTAGACTTGCACTCTATTCATTTACTGCTTGTTTTCTTTATATAAAAAAACTAACACTAGCTTTTCTAATCTTTATGTATTATATTTGTTTTATTTTTATTTATTATACAATTAACAAAAGCAAAAAAGGCACTAGCTTGCTCTATTCTTTTTCTATTCTATCTGTTTTCTTTTTATTTATTATATAATAAAAAAAACCTTTCTACGTGTACTGCGTTAAGCTAGCTGAGACTTGTTATAGCACTTGCATATCATTGCTCTTTTGTTGATTTTGATTGCTTCCGTTGTCCTCATTTGTAAGTCGCTTTGGATAAAAGCATCTGCTAAATGACTAAATATAAATGTAATGTAATGTAAATCTAAAATGCAATAAGTAGTGTAACTATTTCAGTTACTTTATTAAAGTAATGTAGCCTAACTGATTACATTTGATTACTTTTTTAAATTTCTACTGTTTTCAACTGTTAATCATTTTCAAACCTGTAAACCAGGCAGTGTTAAGCTTACAGTAGTAGACCTACTCAAAACTGATTACTGTCAGACTTTCAAAATCCTTTATCCCTTGAATTAAGATCATAATAATTTAATTTTAAAGCACAGCCACCACAAAATTAGACTTACTTTGAAATCATTCTGAGGTTAAATACAGGTTTAAAACATAACAAGAAATAGTTTAGCAGCTACTGTTTTTGAAATGAAATCTTCGCATAACTATGACAGGAAACACTGGCATCTAACAATGGCTTGGAAAAAAACAGTTCATCTTAAAAAACAAAGCATATAATACATAAACCCAAATAGGAAATAAAGCCATTATCGTATAAGCGTGTGTCCTATTCTGTGTCCCAAACTCCTGAAACATTGGTCTCTCATATAGAGAAGTCTCTGCAATTTATGAAAGAAATCAATTAAATCTGTGTGTGGGTGTGTGTAAAAAACAAAAAATCAGATGTAACCCCCTTTGTAATCGTTAACATTTTCATA